TTTAATTTTGACAACTTCCAAGTTTCCTAGATTCATACTTTGTACATTCCATGTTCTGATTATTAATGGATGTTTGCAGCTGTTTCCTCTCATATTGAGGCATGCCACATTAGCAAACAGAGGTCCCGTAAGCTTTACTCCATCCACATCATTAAGGTCGATTCTGCTTTGAGGAGGCAGCTCTTCTCCAGTCATATTTTGAGTGAAGCTCTGATAGCATGGTGCCTAAGGCATTTGACTGCTAGCCAGAAGGCTGGCAGTTCAAACCCACGAGCCACTCTTCAGAAGGAAGATTGGGCAATCTACTTGCGTAGAGATACTGCCTTGGAAACCCAAGGAGGGGTTGCTATGAGTTGGATTTGACTTCATGGCAGTGAGGTTTTTTTTTTGTTGTTGTTCCGACCTGAGGTGCTCATCTTCTGGCACTATATCAGACATTTCAGCGCTACTCCTAAAGTTTTCCAGTAATATATCGGACAGTGTTTCACTGCTATTCATAAGGTTTTCATTGGCCAATTATTTGAGAAGTGGATGGACTCTTCCTTCTTCTGAATGAACAGGTTTGGAAGTTCCGCTGAAACCTGTTCACCATTGGTGACCCTGTTGGTATTTGAAATACTGGTGGCATAGCCTCCAGCCTCACAGCAACCCACAAGCCATGGGAGTATGACAAACTGACAGACTAGAAACAATAAACAGGGCGATTCTTTTTGGAGAGCAAACACCTATTTCCTTTAAAATATAGTTTTATTTTCACTAATGATAAAAATTATAGATACTTATTAAAAAAATCATGGGGGAGAGGGAAGGGAATACTGCAAAACAAAAATACATTGACCCATGTCACTTTAGTTTTGTATATTTCAGTGTACATAAATTATATTTCAGTAAAATGTATTTTAAAAAAATCAGCTCCATTTTTAGCATGTAGGTTTGCAGACATTCTGCTTGCCTGAGTACACATGTATAATTTTTGTTTTACAAAAATACGATTACAGAGTACATGCAGTATTTTTAAAGTTTTTTTTTCTTTTACTTAAAAATAGATCATGCATGTTTTCCAATGATAATATATATAGGCCTAACACAATTTTCAATGGTTGCACAATATTCTAATTTGGAATATGTTGTTGTTGTTATGTGCTGTCGAGTCAGATGTGACTCATAGAGACCCCTCCTTGGATTTCTGAGGCAATATGGTTGGGCAATCCTACTTCTGTAGTGATACTGCCTCAGAAACCCAAGGAGAGGTTGCTATGAGTCAGGACTGACTCAACGGCACATCACAACAACAACAACATCACTACGGAAGTAGATTGCCCAACCTTCTTTCCAAGTAGTGGCTGGTGAGTCTGAACCGCCAGCCTTCTGGTTAGCAGTCAAGTGCCTTAGGCATTATGCCACTAGAGCTCCCAATTTGGAATATATTATTATCTAATTAGGAGTTATAGTGATGCAGTGGTTAAGGCATTTGGCCACTAGCTAAGGTCAGTGGTTTGAACCCACCAGCCTGTGTGGAGGAAAAATGGGGTGATCTACTTTCGTAAAGATTTATAGCTTTGGAAACCCAATGAGGGTTGCTATGAGTTGGAATCAACTCAATGGCACTGAGGTTTTTTTTTTTTTTAATTATTTAATTCCTTATTGCTGGACATATAATACACTGGATAATGTATTATAAGTGGTTTTGCTAGGTCAAAATTTATGAATATTTTTAAGACTTCTTTACATATTATCAAAAAGCTACCTGTCCTCTCCAAATTTCTACCAGTTTACATTCCCACAGAAAGTATGAGAGGACCTGTTTCTCCAGATCTGCAGCAGGCCAGTTGGGATTTCAATTTCATTCCACCCAAATTGTACATACTCCTTTACAGTGAAACCTGCTCCTTAAATTGAGTACATGATTACAGTTCTAGTTGCTGTCGTATCATTTCCGACTCATGGTGACCCCATGTGCGTCAGGATACACCTGTGCTCCAGAGTTTTCCAAAGCTGATTTTTCACTAGAAGATCATCAGACCTTTGTTCTGAATGATTATAAAGATTTTAAAGGAAGGGAACTAAGAAGACTGCATTGTTCTAGAGATGGTTTTAAAAAATTTCAAGGGAAACTAAACAGAGAACCTAATGATTACCCATGATTCAAATGAAAAACATAATCATTTTGAAGATGTTACAAGGAGGTAAAATGACCACAGCCATAGAAGCAAGGATGATGGTAAGATTTCGTCTTGCTTACTTGGATATGTCATCAGGAAGACCGGTCACTGAAAAAGGACATCACGTTTGGCGAGATGGAACAGTTACGGACCAAGCTAATTATGAGCAGGTATTTGTTTCTTTTTGTTTAGGGGAGTTCTATGTTTGTCAGCCCTGGGGAAGGTCTTTTCCTCTCTTCAGTTTCTGTTCTTGGTTTCTTCTTGATCTTGGTGTGGCACGGCCTCTATCTTCCCCTTCCACATTTCCTTCTGTGCCTAAACTGTTCCTGCTGTATCTCAGCAGTGATTGCCTTAGTCAGCAGATGAATAGATACATAAAATGGGGTATATATATAAAGGACTACTAGTCAGGCAATTGATAACATGCTACATATGGATGGAGCTTGAAGACATTATGCTGATTGAACTCAGTCAATTACAAAAGGACAAATATCGTATGCCTTCACTTATATAAAAACACGGGAGCTCTGGTAGCATAGTGCCTAAGGCACTTGACTGCTAACCAGAAGGCTGGTGGTTCAAATCCACCAGCCACTCCTCGGAAGGAAGATGGGGCAATCTACTTCTGTAGTGGTACTGCCTCGGAAACCCAAGGAGGGGTCGCTATGAGTCGGGTCAGACTCGATGGCACATAACAACAACAACAACATATAAAAACACAAGAACAGGCAAATATATAGAGACTAAAGTTTATTAATGGTTACCAGGGGTTGGATGGAGGGGAAAATGGAGTGGTTTATTGCTTATGGAATACTAAGTTTCAGTTTATGGTGACAGAAGAAATTGCATTAAGGATAGGGTGGCACGACCATTAATGTAACTGCTGTCAATAACGTATACACCTGTAAAAGCTTGTGTGACATATTTACAACAACGATTAAAAAAAAAAAAAAAAAAGGAGTACCTACTGAGGTTGCTTTTTACAAGCAAATCCTTCATGGGATTTGGTCCCTTGGTTTGCAGGTTTAGGGTTATGGTTTCATGGGACATCCCAGTTAATCGGCCTAATAAGTTTAGCACTTCTCTTCTACCTTCTAGTTTGTTGCATAGTCCCTGGTGTCTTAAAAGCTTGCCAGCAGCCATCCAAGGCACAACTGGTTTCTGTTTGCCTAAAGCAACAGAGGAAGAAGGGGAGTCAGGAAAGGGCAGAGAAAACGGAGCCATGGAGGCTAGATGAACCCCTGAAACTATTGCCCTGAGAATCTTTAATTAAACCAAAAATATCCTGAAATCTTCTCAAAACCAAACAACAGTTTACCTTACCTAATAAAAAATGTCTGCTTTGAACACTGTGTTCTTTTAAGATCTAGATATATGGGGTTAATCTGACAATAGCAACTCAAAAGATTAGATAGGAAATTTAGGGACTAGTGAGTTTATGTTAATGGGACAAGAACTACTTGAAAAAGGGTGAGAATAGTTGTACAACTCAAAGAATGTAATCCATATCATTAAATTGTACATGTAGAAATTGTTGAATTGGTGTATGCTCTGCTATGTATATTCTCAACAACAAAAAAATAAATTATTAAAAAAATAAACAATTATTGCAATGAAAAAAAAAAGTTATTGCTTTAAGACACATGCTATCCTGATACAGCCTTACTACCATAATACAAAACCCTATTCCCAGGTGGGATTTCGTCCACATGTATAGAGGTTAGGATTTACAACAGATATTTTTTTGGGGAACACAATTTAATCTAAAACAAGGCCTAAATCTTTTTCTACTTCATGTTTTCCAACTTTTCTATTATATTTCCCAACCAATTCCTTTCCATGAAAAAAAAAAAGAGTAGGATACTACTACCTTTTGAAGTTATTTCCTTTGCAAGCCAGAATTTCTGAATTGGCCAGGCAGGCAGCAGGGTCCAACTAAGCCTGCCTTCATTGCCCTTTGTAAATTGCTTTTATCTTACGCAAAAAAAAAAAAAAAAAAAAAAAACCCAAAAAAACACAAAAACTTCTTGCTGAGCTCACTAATGTCAGTGCCATAAAACTGAGGTCCCCTGATTTGAATGCTATTGTATTACTTATGAAGGTTTCCTCCTTGTGTTTTAACCTCTCACACACCAGAATAACCACAAGGCAGACCATATGGCAGGTGACTTCAGCTATGGTGCTGGAATGAGTATAAAGAGCTCTCCATCAGTTTTATTTCTCCTCACCACAGTGGAGGGAAGGAAAGAGCAGAAATTGGTGGTAGTGTCATTTGCTAGTAGAAAAGAAGGTTGGGATTCCACATTAATTTTGGAAACTGCAGAGAAAGAATCATGCTACCACTCACGTCTGGGCAAAGGGTATGGCCCAGGGCCTGGGGAGAAGCCAGATAAAATATATAGCCAGCAGTTTTCAGTTCTGAACAGTCAGCTCCTCTAAGTGCACACGGCAGCTCTTCCCGTGTTCAGCCTGGCTGGCAGCATGAACATGCTCCTTTTTGTGCTGGGCCTGGGTGTACCTGTGAGCTTATGGATGAAGACCCTCCAAAGCTTTAGTCAGGTACAACACAACCGGAAGGGCCGGAGAAAGGGCTCTGTAATCCCTGCTTGAGAAGGTATATTGTTGCTGGCCTGCACAGTCCTAAGCAGAGAGCTGGATGAATAAAGTACTTTGATTGCTTTTCTAAATACCTTCTATAAAGATTCCTTCCTTTATAGCTTCCATTTTCTTAAATGCTCTCCTCAGGTAACAAACAGGTGAGAATCTGTTTAGCCAAGATAGACAGGCTGCTTCAGAGCTTCCCATGCGGAAAACTGAAGTCTGATTTTTCTCCTTTCTTTAGTTAGTGTCTAGGTTGAGAACCTCAAGTAGTAAGAGACACAGTGTAAGAATGGGAAAGACTGAGCCTTTTTGAGAGCCTACTCCTCTGCTGAATACCACTTTGAAGGGAAAAAAGAAGTCATATGGCAATTTCCAGTCTATTCTGGGCTGGCCCCTTGGAGGTTCTGGCTTCTGGGTAATGTCCACAAAGGTCACAAGAGTTGTCAAAGATACTTCTGTTAGCAGTTGGGAATCCTGCAGGGAAAAAAGTCAATGACAGGTAAGTGTTTTTTACCCATTCGTATAGGCCTCCACCCTGACTCTCATTAGTATTATTTCTCTGAAGAAAAACCAAAACAAATTTCAAGATGTACCATTTTCTTAAATTGGTCCTATATAGATCTATGTGATGATACACAGGGAAAGGAATTTCTTAGCAAGAGTCTAGGAGAACTGAGAACAGACTGACTCTAATGTTTTCCAAGTGGAGAGCTGCCTGGTATCAGAGATGCCAGATGGCAAAACTGCTGCTGTTATGCACTTAGCAGTTCTATGTTATCAATCCTAGAAGGCTCCAGGCTCTGAAATAGCGTATATTTCAGCACAAGTGCAAGTAGTAGTGGCAATTCTACTCCTTTTTAAATTGCAGACGGAAATATGAAACTTACCAGGAAAATGGGAAGAAGTTTATCACTGAAGACTTCTGGACTTTATTTGGACTTTGACTTAAAAGGCAAAACTATTTGATTTTGTACCTTACCTAAATATTTTGGACTTTGAGTCCTTTAGACTTTAAATTAGAAGAGGATTTACTCTTAGGACTTAATATTTTTCCCCCAAGGAACTTCATAATGGGGAGAGTACTTAATTCAATTTTTGGAGCAAATATTTATTATTGTTGTTATTATGTGCTGTTGAGTCGTCTCTGACTCAGCGACCCCTCCTTGGGTTTCTGAGGCAGTATCACCATAGAAGTAGATTGCCCAACCTTCCTTCTGAGGAGTGGCTGGTGGGTTTGAACCGCCAGCCTTCTGGTTAGCAGTCAAGTGCCTTAGGCACTACACTACCAAGTTCATGTTATTGCAGCAGGTTAATATTTCAGTTAATTTCATCGTAAAACACCTAATGAGCTATACTGGTCGTGGTGGCTAGTCATACTTTGAGATTGGAAATAAAATAGGGGGTGGATTTTTAGCTTTGGGTTCAGTGTTACCCAGGAGTTGGTTTAATTAATGTGCTATTCTGATTAAATTCAGAGCCTCTGCAGGGAAGGCAGATTCTAAATTGCCCATCAGCAGTCCCAAGACGATGTTCAAAGAAGCTGTGGTTGGAATAAGGGTAGTAGCCTCATGATGGAAGAGTAGAGTATTGCATCCCCCGCTGCTGCACACCTAAGTTACAACCTTCAACCTATCATTTGTAAATAACAAAAATGACATTTTTACCTCTGCCTGAGTCTTTTAATTGTTCAAACTCAGGTGGGGAAAAGACGTGTGTCGTTAGCCCCTCAAATGTCCAAAATCAGGAAATTTCTGGAGCCTTGATGTCAGCCATATCTAGAACTGATCTCTAAGGTAGCCAGGAGTCTAAGAAGGCAATCTTTGGGCACATGTCTGCTCAAGTATGTATATTTTTAAGTCTGTGCTGGTGTTTTAGTGCTTGGGAAACTCCTAATGAGAAACATTCTTTGAACAGAGCTGTTCCTTCAGAGTCACCCAGGATACAAGCTCAGTAAGAGCTACTACTAGACCTCAGCTCTTTTCCCAGTGTGTCTCACCAATCACTAATCCAACAAGAAACAGATATAAAAACTCCGTCTTCACTAACAGACCTCAGAATACGAGAAATCAGAAAGCAAATGGAGGCATGGTTTTGCAGAAGGAAAGGAGATCTACCCTAAAAGCCTTCAGAGACTAGAAGCAAGCAGAGCAGCACTTCTGAACCCTGGAAAGACTTAGCAGTTGGAGCTAATAGGGAGGCATGGATGAGGTAGGGGCAGAAAATTGGTACTGCATGATACCCACCCCCACCCAATACAGCCAAGCAACTACCCTTCCCTCACCTCAACAAAGACCGAATAATTTAACCCGAGAAATTCTGGATTTAAGAACATAAGGCATAGCAAAGGGCAGAGTCCAGTGTGAGCTAAAAAGAGGTGGACTAATCTGTATAATGAAATCCCTCCCCTCATCTAGTTCCAAATGTTGGCAGATGGTCTTATACCCATATCCTTCATGCTGGAGTTTGGAGGATCCCTCACTAGAGAAAATTAATAGTTCCAGCAAAAAATCCCAGAGATACTGACATTTGGCTGTCCCATTGTACCCAAGTGCCTAATAGTGAAGACCACCTGTTCTGGTTACTAGTGCCTCTCTGACAAGAATACCACAAATGGGATGGCTTAAACAAACAGGAGTTTATTCTTAACAATTGGGAGGCTTTAAGTCCAAGTTCAAAGTGCCAAGCTCTAGGGGTTGGCTAAAAGCTCCTCAGCCTTGGGCCTCAGCTCTGTCTTCAGCTCCCTACCCACTGAAGCTAGAGGCTTTTTTTCACTCAGACAGCTGCTAGCTGCTGAGGCTGCCAAGCCCAAGGTTGACAAGTAAAAAAGGCACAGTCCTGATGTTACCAAACCATATGGCAGGTCATTAATTCAAGGCCATTGTAAGTCCCAAAGTTGGCAGAGCATGGCAGGCTGCTGAACAAAGACACAGCTACATGCACAGTCCAAGCGTGCCATAAGCTAGAGACTATCCCCAAGGCTTCTCCTTATATACAAGAAGCAGACCACATCCCAAAGGCAGCTACTCAGCTCCTTGTAGTAGATCCCACCAAGGAGTCAATTACCAGTCTCATCATGGGGAATAACTACCACCAGCTGCCCAGCCATTCAACCAGGCCCAGCCAAGTTGACATACAAATTTAACTACCACACCACTGATCAATAAGTCTTACCCATGATCACAAAGCTTTCAACCAGCTTATTAGTTTAATCTTAAATTTGGATAGACAGAGATTGTCAGACATGTTAGGAAAGTATCTTATATTAAAGAGAGAAACTGAACCAAATGAAGAGAATAAAGAAACTCAGGAAAAAAGAGTGACAGGTGATGAAATGTTAGTATCTTCAAACATTTATAGGAAAAGGGTATTATGAAAAGAAATATTCAGAGAATAAAAGTGCTCTCAGATATTAACAATGTGACAGTCAAAATAAATTCAGTAAAGGGTTAGACAACAAGGCTGAGAAACTCTTCTAGAAAGAACAAAAAGATAAAGAGATGGTCAACAGGAGATGGAAAAAAATGAGATCAGTCTAGTAGTGCTCCTGTAACAGATTAATAGTTGTTACAAAAGGGAGAACAAAGAATATAGTGAGGAGGAAATAATCAAACAGGTAATAATAATAATAGAAATTTGTCATAATTGAGTTTTCAGAGTAAAAAAAGAAAAAAAAAAAAACCATACCCACTAATTATCTGTTATAAAGAATGAAGAAAAGAACCACCCAAGGCACAATATTATGGAAACTTCACACCACTAGGAATAAAAAGAACATCTTAAGATGGCTTCTGAACAACAGTACTAGAAACTAGAAGATAATATAGAAGAATGTCTTCAAAATTGTGAGTGAAAACAATTTTCAACCTAGAATTTTATACTTAATCAAAATCAAGCATCATCATCATGATGATGATTGAAAAACATTATCATTAGATATGTGAGCTAAAAAAGAAAAAAATATACTTTCTACACACTTCCTTTTTTCAGGTGGTTACTAGAGGTTCCATCAAAACAAGAGATAAACCAAAAAGAAAGGTTACTAGTAGTGTCCAGTGAATATACTACAGGAAAGAAGCAAGAGGAATTCCCAAGATGACAGCAAAGAAAACTCCATGACAATAGGTGGGCAGCAACCAGGCTCTATTACATCAGAAAATGGAAGTCTCCATAAAGAAAATACCTAGGAAATAGTAGAAATGATAAACTGTATGGCAACATTGACTTGGAAAACTACACTGAGAGAAATTTTACAGAACTGTTGGAGGATGGGAAAAGTCTTAGCCATAAGCTCGAAGAAAGCTAAAGGAAATAAATATGATGTAATTAATAATTTCAGAAAACATAAAAGGTTTACAAAAAAGGAAATTAAAGGTAGTCCCCAAATCATGACATACTCAAGTTATAAGGAACAACACTTATGACTATCTTTATTTTTGGTACATCTTATCGTAGTAATATATGCATATGTATGTGTCAAAATATGTTTATAAGTTTATATGTAATGTTTCTACCCACCAAAAACAAAGATTGGATTTATAAAGATACAGATAATAAAAATCACTAATAATGAAAACTAGAAAAGAAAAAGAGAAGTATTTGACTTACGTTAGAACCAACATACAATGGAGTTGTTGGAAAAGCACCCCCCATCATATGTCGGGGACTACCTGTTCTTAAATCAGCATGAGTAATTATCTAATCCTAATAATGAAACACTGAATATTGATTTAATGTAGTATTTTGATATAAATTGGAGGGTGATAGGTGGGGTGTTAGGTTGTTGTTAGGTGCCATTGAGTCAGTTCAGACTTACAGCAACCCTCTGTACTTCAGAACAAAATGTACTTTCCATGCACTTTTCTTTCAAGAGGTTACTAGAAGCTGAGCACCATCAAAATAAGAGACAAACCTACAAGAAAGATTAGTAGAAAGTGTCCAGTGAATATAACACAAGAAAGAAACGAGAGGAACTCCCCCCAAAGTTAGCCTGTACTATAGTCTGGTAGTGTGGGGTTGTTGTTGTTATTTGCCATTGAGTTGGACCCGACTCATAGCGTCCCTTCCTTGGGTTTCCGAGGCAGTATCATTACGGAAGTAGATTGCCCACCCTTCCTTCTGAGGAGTGGCTGGTGGGTTTGAACCATCAGCCTTCTGGTTATCGGTCAAGTTCCTTAGGCACTATGCTACCAGAGCTCTTAGTCTGGGATTAGGAGATTTAAAAACAACAAAACCCTGGGCGTTAAAAAAGGTTTAGATTCTGTTTATCATGACAACATGCTAAATTTAGCATCCAGGCAGGGAGGACAGACTTGAAAGTGCATTGTGTTAGCTTCACTCTAAACAAGCATTGGTTGATATAGTATAAACTGACTCTCAGAAGTTAAAAATTATCTGGGTATCAAATAGCTTATAAGATGATCAAGGCCTTGGAAAGCTCCATGGTCCACTATGAGCCATGACTTACCTGCACAGACTGGCATTGGTACAGGAATCGGGCTCCTGGCACATGAGCTTGTGGGTTGGACTGGAGGCCTATATATGCCCACAATACCTGGATCTCCAGGGAAACTGGTATGAAACAGCAGGATGTACAATTCATAGCCTGTACAAGGGTAAAGAAGCATCTGCTTGAATTGCCTGATGGTTGCCATAGTCAGTCAGCAAGTACCAAGTAGTCATCATTTCTTAAGCATTATAAAATAATGGAGAAACATATTTAGAGAAAGAACACAGAAGTTAACAGCTATAGATCCTATTATTATGCTTGATCACAAAAAATTAATATCAGAAATGGAAATCATCATGAAGAAAATCAAAGATGCATGGAAACAGTCTAGATGACTAATGGACCATGAGAACCTCAACTATATAACCTAGAGATCAGAAGAACTACATGGTGCCTGGCTACCAATGCCAACCACTTGGGAAGGGATCAAAATTGGAGATCCTGTAGAGAGTGGAAAAGAATATGGACCAAAACTCAAAATCATAAAAAAGACCAGGCTCACAATACTATGGTCCTGGGATACATTCTGGACCTGGAATAAAGCTTACTCCCAGGGGCTGGCTCTCAGCCCAATAGTAAAAAAGATGTACATGCAGACCACTCAACCCAGGGTGATGCACCCACATACTTTATGGAAATGCATCCCTTGGAGCAATTGACCATGGGGCACCAGAGGGGCAACATTCACACGAAGGAAACGGCAGGATAAACAGAAGTGCGTAACTATGAGGGGCACAGGAGCAGGGTTACTGGGCAGGGAGGGGAGAAGACTGGGTTAGGGTTGGACATGGTAAATGGGAGTGAAACTAAATGTACTGTAATGTTGAATGTAAAACAAACTCTTAAAATAAAAAAATAAAAAGACCAGGCTTATTGGTGTGATAGAGACTGATGAAACTTTTGAGACTAATGGCCCTGAGTCACCCTGTGGGCCTGTTAATTGATCTCTTTCCTGTGGCTTAACTCTCAGCCAAACGATAGACAGGCCTATGAGCTGAACACCTGCACCAAGTAGATACACTCTTTTTTTTTTTTTTACTTCTCTCTCTCTCTCTCTCTCTCTTTATTGTGATTTGGGTGAAGATTTACAGAGCAAATTCACTTTCCATACAGCAATTCACATACACTTTCTCTCATGACATTGACCACCGTTTTCCACAGTGCAACAGCTCCCCTCCCACTTCCTCCTGATAATTACCTCTTCCCTGTGTCTATACCTCCATGCACTCCTGCCCCCTGAGCTGTCTCCTGGTGCATAAGCAGCCCTTCTTTCTCCCATGATTGTTCTCTCCAAGGAGTGTTTAACTCATATGCCTGTCTTTTGTTTGGCTGGAAACCACAGGTGTGGGTTCAATTCCAGACCTGATGGGCAGCTAGGGGCCATAGTCTTAGTGGTTCCACCAGGCTCTATTGGACCAGCAAACCTGGTCCTCCCGCCCTTTTTTTTTTCTCCAGATGATTTTGAATTTTGTCCACATTGTTCTCCCTCTCTATCCAAGATCTCCTACATAGATCCCCTTCCAAGTGGTTGACATTGGTAGCTGGGCACCATCTAGTTCTTCTGGTCTCATAGTTGTATAGGCTGCAGATCGGCATACCTCCCAGTCACTAGGACTGATTATATCCATGAATTTTTGGTTTTCTTCATTCTTCTTTGTAGATGCACTCTTTAGAATAAAATCAACCACAGACAATTAGAAGGGCACCATTTGCACCGGGAGTGATGTAGGGAGGCAGGAACACACAGGCAAGAAGGAGACATGGAAAGGGTAAGCACAGGGAGGAAGTGGGAGATGAGATGTTACATTGAGGGGAATGTAACAAGTATCAGAAAACAACATGTGTATGTAAACTGTTGAATATAAAATAACTCTTTGTAAAATTTCACCCAAATCATAATAAAGTTTTAAAATAAAAAAATAAAAGCTGTGTATCTTTTATATATATATATATATATATATATATATATATATAATTGGAAATCATTCCCTAGATTTTCTTATTTCTGCTAAAAGTACCAGTCTTTTCAGTCATGTAAGTTTTGGCCTTTGGCATCATCTTTGGCTCCTTTTTTCTTCCTTAGGCTCCAAATAAATCATTCCAAAATGATTTATAAGAAGCTATCAGTGAGTGGTACATAGTCAGTGTTATGGAAACCAGGAGAAGAAATGGCAGTTGCTGGTTGGAGAACCATTCATGGAACCAAGATGAGTAACATGTGACTGGAGAAGGAAATTAAAGAGAAATTTAGATAGAGGAATGGCATTTAAAAAGGTGTACAGAAGGATGTGATGCTATGGAAGGACATTCACTGATTAAACAATAGTGCCCTAGTACCTGCTATGTGCCAGGCATATGCAGACATTGACCTTGAGCAGACTTTTTGGTTAACATAAAGGATTTGGACACAGAAGCATGAAAGGTTAAGAAAGAATACACTTTAGGGTTAGGATCTGAAGTCCAACCAAGTGGTCTCTCTGAAGACACTAGGAAGTCATGATGGTTTCTAGATGAGAAACATGGTATACTTGAAGCAAGACTTCAGGATGATTAATCGCAAGATGTAGGAAGGATTGATGGGGAAGACAGTGGAGGTGAGGATATCAATCCAGAAGTTACCATAGCTTAGCAGATACAAAGAATCCTCAAATATGCCTAGTGCTTTTCTAGCTTCATACTTTTTATAGTAAGGTTCGGAACAGGCAAGAACATATATAGACTAGGAATAGAGAACTCCATAGGGAGGGAAAGTTTTGTACATACAGCCTAAGGAAGAAAAAAGGAGCCAAAGATGATGCCAAAGGCCAAAACTTACATGACTGAAAAGACTGGTACTTTTAGCAGAAATAAGAAAATCTACGGAAAGGACTAATATGGAGACAGTGGGTTTATTTTAGACATGATAATTTCATAATGATGATGGGATAACAGAACAAAACAAAAAGAAACAAACCCAATGCCACTGAGCTGATTCCGACTTATAGCAGCCTCCGTTGAGTTTCTAAGGTGGTAAATCGTTATGGAAGTAGATTGCCTCATCTTCCTTCCACTGAGTGGCTAGTGGCTTTGAACCACCAACCTGCTGGTTAGCAGTAAAATGCCTTAAGCACTGTGCCACCAGAGCTCCTCGAGGATGGGATACTACAGTAGAAATTCTAGTAGACAAGTGAACTTGGGAAACTGGAAAATCAGTAGCGAACTCAGGGGTTAAAGTATAAATTTGTAAGTCAGGCATATAAAGAGTATGTTTGAAATATTTCTGGAGTTGAGGAAATTTTTCACTTAAATTCATTTAACATGGAGAAGCTTCTGGAAGTTAATCAGGAATTTAGGGAGAAAGAATGACAAAGATAGAGGAGGGTAACAAACCTTAGAGAACAAGAGTTAGAAAATATAACATACGGGAGCAGTGGAAAAGTTCTACCTAAGTTGAGAAAGAAGCAGGTAAATTAGAGGAACTGAGAAAAATTAGGTAAAATGTTTAGATGATACTGAAACTGCAAGAGGGTTGCTGCAGCTTATGGAGTGTGAGAAGGTCACAGATGGGGAGATGAACGCTGTCATGAAAAACATGGCTTTAGTAACAGCATTTATGACCGATTATAGATTAAAAAATCTGGAGGTAGAAAGGCCAGAGCAAACAGTTCAAGGCAAAGGCAGCAGGATTAACCTGACAGAAAGAAAAAGAGATTTCAAAGAAAAGTATGTTCATTTGCAGAAAATATGAAAAAGACAAAAGAAAACAAAACACTACCTACAGTCATAACACCAAGAGATAAGCACCATTAAGTTTGGTACATATATATGATTTTATACACACATATTGAATTGAAATTCTACCATGTCCTAATTTTTTTTTTTTAATTGAGACATAATTCACATATCACAAAATGGTTTTGCAGCCAGCATCACTATCTAATTCCTGAACATTTTCATCATCCCCCAAACAAACCATTAGCAGCCATACCACCTCCCCCACCTCCTCTGGCCCCTTGTTGTTGGGTGCTGTCAAGTGATTTTGACTCAGCCACCCGTGTGATGGAGTAAAGTTGCATGTGGGTAGCATTTCCTAGGCTGTAAACTTTATGGACTTAGATCATGAGGCCTTTGTCCCACGAAGTCACTGGGTGCTTTTAAACCACCGACCATATGGTTAGCAGCCAAGTGCTTAAAGCTGTGCCCCCAAGGCTACTTCAGCCCCTGGCAGCCACTAATCTACTTTCTATCTCTGTGGATTTGCCTATTCTGAACATTTCATATAAATGTAATCACACAACATGGAATCCTTTGTATATGGCTTCTGTCCTTTGGCATTCTTTTTAAGGTTCATCCATACTGTAGAATGTAACAGTACTTTATTCCTTTTTATGGCTGGATAATATCCCAGTATAGATATACCATATTTTGATTATCCATTCATCAGTTGGTGGACATTTGGGTTGTGTCCACTTTTTGCTTATTCTGAGTAATGTGGATAGGAACGTTTCTGTATACAAATTTTTGTGTGCATATGTTTTAATTTCTCTTGGGTATATGCCTAAGCGTGGAATTGCTGAGTCATATATTAATTATGTTTACTTTTTGAAGAACTGCTAAACTGCTATCCAAAGTGACTGCACCATTTTATTTCCCCACCAGCAATGTATGAGAGTTCTTTTTCCTCTACATTCTTGCCAACACTTGTTATTGTCCATCTTTTTAGTTAAGTCCTAGTGAGTGTGAAGTGGTATCTCGATGTAGTTTTCATTTCTCTAATGACTAATGATACTGAGTATCTTTTTATGTGCTTATTCCAAATGTTTTAGAACATTTTTTTCATTTATTCTACAGTATGAACATTTTTCCATATCATGAAAGATTTTTCAGAAATGTGATTTAAAATAACATATACAGCAGATTTAAGAATGTCAGATTTTACAATCTCAAGGCTTATCACCATTCTCTTCCTGTGCATCACCCCAAACCACCTTCTCTTCCAAAATCACTGCCATTGAGTCGATTACGACTCAGCAACATAGCAACCCCATTGGGTTTCTAAGGCAGTAAATTCTTACAGAAGCAGATTGCCCTGTCTTCCTTCTGCAGAAAGCCTGGTGGGTTTGAACCATCAACCTTATGGTTAGCAGTCAAATGCCTTAGGCTGTGGTTTTAAAACAACTCAATTGGACATTAGTTGCCCAGGTGCTGTATTGAGTACATACCTATCCCTCCAAATCCTCTTAAAATCCCCAATTATTAGTGCTGAATAAAGGAAGAGGGTCACTTAAAAAATAATCTCTAAAGGAAATAGACTTTCAAAGGCAGAGCCAAAACCTAGAGAGAAAAATACTGTTACATTTTATAACATAAAAACCAATTTCTTCATGCCAAAAAGACCACAAGCAGTCAAAAGATAAATGACAAACTGGGAAAAAAGTCTGCAACTTACACCACAAAAAAGAGCTAATTTCTCAGTAATTTCTCAGATATGTAAAGAATTTCTATAAGTCATAAGACAATTTAATAAAAATGAGCAAAGGATGTAATTATAGGGATGACAGAAAAGAAAACACAGACTGCTAAACCCTATGTCAAGATGCTCAACCTTACTTATTTAAAAAAAAAAAAAAAAACACCTCACTGCATTCAAGTTGATTAGACTCATAGTGACCCCTCCTTGGATTTCCAAGGTGGTATCTCTACGGAAGTAGATTACCCAGTCTTCCTTCTGAGGAGTGGCTGGTAAGTTTGAACCACCAGCCTTCTGGTTAGTCAAATGCTTTAGGCACCATGCCACCAGAGCTCCCTTATTCATAGTAAGAGAAAACAAACTAAAGCTGCTTTTCACCTGTCAGATGGGCAAAGGTGAAAAGTTTGATTAACACAGTGTTGGTTTGGATGTGGGGTAATAAGCTGTCTCATAGATGAATGGTGGGATTGTAAATTGAGACAATATGTATGCGGATAAATTGGGAATATTTATTAAAATTTTAGGTGCATGTACCCTTTGATCCAACCATTCCACGTCTATAAATTGACCTTATCAGTTTATTGTTACATGTATGAAATGGTACCTGAACAAGGTTATAAAATGTCTCATTTTAATAGGAAAACAACCTCAAAGTCTATGTATAAAACTGGTTAAATAAATTATGGTGCTGCCAAGAGAACGAACAAATCATTCTTAGAAGAATAACAACCAGGATATTCCTTAGGAGTGAAGACGGCAAGACTGTGACTTGCTTACTTTGGACACATCATAAGGAAAGACCAGTTTCGAGAAAAGGACACAAAGTTTGAGTACAGGGCTGATGAAGACCAGGGAGACCTCAATGGGATGGATCCAAACATACCAGTGATCATTAAGATGCTGTAGGAAGGGGCACCGTTTTCTGTTATTATACATCACGTCACCATGAGTTGGAACCCACGCAGCAGCAACTAACAACTACAATATCGATAATGGAATTCTATGCAAATAGGAAAAAAAGAATGAGGATGCTTATTATTATTACTATGTACTGATACGGAGCAAGCTTTTAAGTTCAAGTGAAAAAAGCAAGGTACAGAGAGAGCACTGCTTATAATATTCTATCATTTGGGTGAAAACAAAAGAGAAGATGAGAGTATTTTCTTGTATAAGCATGCAATATTTCTGGAAGGAAACAAACTAGTGGCTTTGATCTGCCTCTGTGGAAGGGAACCGATGCCTGGGAGGGAGATTTTTAATGTGTACTTTCTGGATTGTTAACGAAGTATATGTATTACTTATCCAGAAAAACAAACATTCACTTAAAACTTAAATTCAAAGAAATAAAAATAAAATGGCTGACTGAAGTTAGGAGGTAGGGGACAGGTAAGAGAGGAAACAGGGAATATAGGAGAGCCAATTTCCTTATTTTACGTAGGAAGGAGTCAAGACATACACCAAAAGTGGGCCAGTGATAAACTAAAAACAGAAACAGTTAAATGCAGTTACTTCTGGGACTAGGACTGTGTGAAGTTTTCACTTTTCATTCAATGCCATCCTATAGTATGAATTTTTAAACCTGTAAATGTATTATTTTTATAACAACAACAATAGAAAGAGCATGATTTCAACCTCACACAAGAAAAGAAGTATGTGCTGACCAAATATTCAAGAACATACGAGAATGTTTGAAATACAGGGATGATTCTGAATCACAGAACAATCTCCAGACTTTCTACCTTCAAATTTTGGAAACGTGATTCAAATAATGATTTCAAATGTGCATAATTTTTTATATTCTTCTTTCTATAGCAACCATACTGCCAGTGCAAATAATGCTACTTTTCATAACTTACAAAAGGGATAAAATGAATCTTGGTCAGAAAGGGTATTTCTCTCCTTACCAAAACATTGCAGTTCCTACTGAGGATCCTGGTCCACTGTCCTCTCTGGGCTGGATCAGCATTACCAAAGATGGCGACATGCTCTGGTCTGGGCCTTCCATGAAGAGCCTGATCAATCTCCTGCTGCAAGTGGCTGCAGTCTGCCTTCTTCAGGCTGTAATTAAACACCATGGAACCTGGAGTTCAACGCTAATACCAGGGACGTGTGCATCAACTAGTGATTGGTATTGTTGTTGTTGTTGTTATGTGCCGTCGAGTCAAACCCAACTCATAGCGACCCCTCCTTGGGTTTCCGAGGCAGCATCACTACGGAAGTAGGATTGCCCAACCTTCCTTCCGAGGAGTGGCTGGTGGGTTTGAACTGCCAGCCGTCTGGTTAGCAGGCAAGTGTCTTAGTCATTATGCTACCAGAGCTCCCAAGTGATTGGTATTATAGAAAGCCAATTGAGCATCATCACTATAGTAATGCGATCATATTAGTATATTAATACAAACATTATTAGAAGTAATATTAGACATATATTGGAGAAAACAATCCTAAATAGATATTAAAGGTCTGTTTTCAGAAAACTTCGTAAATACTATTAAAGTGACACAGATTATGAGAATATTACTAACCAGCATTCTCTGAACTGCCATTTAAAATGTGAAAGTTGCCATATATCAACACATTCTTTACAAGGAGAGACAAAATTGTGGAAAATGATGCAGAAGCAAACAATTACCTGAGCTTGCACCCAGATATTGCATTCACTCCAAATTGTACTTTATGTCTCTTAGCAGAGCAGGTTCCATCACCCTGACTCTGCAAGAGGGTCATCTGAGATGAAAAGTCAAAGAAATCGTAACAAAAAAAAGTAGGCAGGATTGGAAAATTTATGTTCTCATTATTCTCTCAACACCATTTATATTTTATTAATATCATAATATTGAACTTCAAGTCACAAATTTTTGTTTTCCCCTTGTTGTTGTTATGTGCCATTGAGCCGGACCTGACTCATAGCGAACCCTCCTTGGGTTTCTGAGGTGGTATCACTATGGAAGTAGATTGCCCCATCTTCCTTCTGAGGAGTGGCTGGTGGGTTTGAACCGCCAGTCTTCTGGTTAGCAGTAAAGTGCCTTAGGCACTATGCTACCAGAGCTCCCTTGTTTTCCCCTATGAACTGAAAAACCAGGAGACAATCACTGTTTTTCCAAAAATGGTTAACCATGCACAAACACATAAATATCTCCTTTACAAACAAATACCAATCATAATCATTACTGTGAAATGAGACTAGTAATAGTAGAAATAATAGTAGAACCTGTCTAACTTCAGAGTTGATAATGGTCAGCTTCAGTCCAAAGCCAATTCCTATGAAGCAGAGGTCAAATATATCCCAGATTTCCACATTCTCCACTCCATCTCTGATACAGGCCACTCGCCCTCCCCTCAGCACTCTTCCCTCCTGTTTGGGTTTGGCAATTTGCTGCAATGTCTCACAGAACTCACGTATTATACTTACCATTAAGTGGTTTATTAAGGAACAGGGTACAACTTGGGATCTGGATCAAGGACTACAACTGTGGCTCAGGAAGCGTGTTGCTCAGGAAGCGTGTAGGCCAACTCTCAGCTTCTCTCGGCCCCCGGAAGACAGCTCTCCTCTGAGCTTCCCCAGGGTGGGCTCCTCTTAGCGCTGCTGTTGGACCTCTTCCAGGCCTGTCTCAGTGTAATAGCCCTGACTGTGTTACAGCTCTTTCAGGAGGTTCCTTGCCTCCTTTCCCTCTGCTTCTGCTTCTTTTCTTGTGTTTTTTCCGTCTCTAAAACCTCTGTGGATTGGCTGCTTATATACACAATTCCTTGTCATTTTCAAGGCATGGCACTCCCACCAGGGTCATGAACTGACCAATGCCCTGTCCGTAGGTCACAGATATTTCATTTGCATAGTAGGCTACAGCTCACTTCATTTGTGTAGCATATTGACCAGTCACTGGAAGGATTAATCACAGGGCAGGCTATAGCCCAGGACCAGACAAAAAGAATCAAACCAAATTGTTTACAACTTACGCAAGAAATGCCATTCGATCTGGCAAAAGTAGTAGACCCTATAGGGTAGAAGACTAGCGCAAAGGTAACTCTTCAAAGCTTAGGAGAAAAAGCTCTCACGCCATTTTTCCAAAGAACTGAGGCAAAATGCCACATACAGGGTCCTATGTCACCACACTTACTTTTACCCATTTTAACATAAGCTTTAAAGCCAGTGGTTGCATCAGCATTTCAGAACATAATATATTAGTTTGGTGCAGAAAACGCTTAATACCTAAAAAGTGGGGGAACTTCAGAAATTGGAAAATCCAAAAGATCTGCAGCTGGAGCTTTTCTCATTATGCTACAACAGACCAAAAAAGGATACTGAGTGACTTACATCACCAGTTAAAACCAAGAGTGGCTTCCCAACAATGTAGCCAGGATTCCCACTTCTAGGACTCAGAAGGGAAGTGGCTGTGCTTCGTTCAAAAGCCTGCAGGAAGAGCAAAGAAAACTCAATTACTGAGAAAAACATGCTTCCCCACCTCCCACTGCTTGGCTTAATACCTTTTTTAAGGCAATGCAACAAGTTTAGCTGCACTCAATGATCTGACTTCCCTTAGCAGTGTAGTAGTTTGGAGAAATTTCTATTCTAGAAATTATTTATTTTTTAACTCACTGAAATAAATTCTGAGTAATTTCAGTATTGAAATTCACTATATGCTATTTCTACCAAGGATCTACCAAGGGTCCCTCAACTCTGTTTTCTCCAAAATTACTATTAGGGGTATATTTAACCTGGCTGAAAGCAAAGGAATTTAAATGGAATTGAGTTATAGATGTGCTCTAAAATATATACAGATGTCTCAAAAATGAACTCTGAGATACTTAGGAACTTGCTTGATCACCAGAGGGCAGAGTTGAGAAGAAATTGTTCTCTGTTGGGCTCAAAAGGAGGAGAGAAATGAAAGAAAGCCAAAGGTAGTGATCAAGATTGGAAACTCAGGTCACATGAGAAAAGGATAAAATGCTGAATATACACAATTATGAGAAAATCTAGTTAAAGAGTTTCTGTAGGATGCTGGCTTGGTTTATGATTCAAAATTACTATTTAAAAAAGTTTTGATTTAAAGTCCTCTTTGCTTGGGGGTAGAAAATCAGAGAAAATGTTAATGAATAAATTTTGTTGAATCCTTATCACTTATAGCTTAATAATGGAATACTGAATGTTGCGAGAGTTGACAGATTAGAATAGGCCTTCATATTATTAGTCTATTTTGCATGTGTTTCAGAAGCAGGAGGACTACTTCTAACACAGTATCCTGCCCCCCACCTTACTGCCCCAATCCTCTATGGGAGAAGGTACCCTAACCCTGAAGTGAATGATGAAGTGTTGCTGTAAGGAAGCGTCTGGCTTGACAGTCAGGTTGGTTTGTCCAAAACTGACAAAGACTCTCTGAATCCCCAAAGTCCCATTGGTCTCTATCTCATACATCACCTAAAATGAAAAAAAAAAAACCAATCAATTAATAAAAAATATGTAGTGGACTGATTGTGTTTAGAATGGAGGATTTTCTATTTTTAAGGAGTTTTTTTATAACTGAGTGAAAGAGACTAAAAAAGGCATCTGCAACATGCCAAACACAAATAGCTTGAAAAGACAAAGATCACTTCATATTACATCTGGACATAAGACAAAAGACTGGTTAAAGTTCTTTGAAAGGGTTCATGGAGGAGGTGAGTTAATGGTAAGAAAGAGAAGAAAAATAAGTTTTGACTGTGGGTAGAAGAGGGCCAATAGAAGCAGAGGTTGAGATGAGCATGGAATGGTTTATTTGGCTGTAGCAATGTCTGAAGTTGAGTACAGATAGCTGAAGACAGGAATCACAAGTAATTAAAGGTTAGCTTAAATTTCTGAAGCACAATTTTTAAAATCCTTTAAATAACTTAATTCTCTAGGCTGTATGGATTAGAAGAGACAGAATGGAGGAACAGAGCAGGCTAGTCTTTTCAGATGATACTGTTCTTACTGATATAGTAAGAACCTGTAAGAGACTGCACATGAGAAAAGGAAGACAAGTCAGAAATAATTTTAATCATCTGGGACTGAAATACCGGAGGATGGTAGCAATGGAAAAAATTAGGGAGGAAGTGGATACACTCAATTCTCGACATACTAAATTTCAGATAATACATGAAAAATCATGTGGGGTTGATCAAGTACTTAATGAAAGACAGGGCAGGTCTGGTAATGTAGATCAACATACATCAATCCAGAGTTGAGTCCTATATCAAGATCAGCATCTGTACCTGGGAAACAACATTCTGACAAGTATTTCCAGCCAACAGAGGAGAACCAGCCTGTGAGAGGAGTGTTACAGGCACCTGAAGAGCAAGAGGAAGATGTAAATCAACCAAAATCGAAAGCAGCATTTTCTCCTCCACCTACATATCATGCTGAAATGAGTATTTTTTCCTTCTTGGCCTTTCCAATTCTCTCTTTCCATTGCCAGACTACAACTTAAATTCAAAAGTCATTGTAGATCAGCACTTCTCGAAAATATTGCTCCAGATACTAATCTTATTAGATATAAAGTAAGGATTCCATGGTTAAGTAAGTTTTAGAAATACTGTATTCTATACTTCCCTATAGGAGCTCTGGTAGCATAGCACTTAAGGCACTTGACTGCTAACCAGAAGGCTGGCAGTTCAAACCTACCAGCCACTCTTCAGAAGGAAGGTTGGGCAATCTACTTCGGTAGTGATACCACCTCGGAAACCCAAGGAGGGGTCGCTATGAGTTGGGGCCAACTCGACGGCACATAACAACAACAACATACTTCCCAATGTTAACAAAGCCTTCTAGCATATTAGACTACAAGATCAGTGGCTGTCTTGTTGATTCCAACTCCTGGTGATCCCATGTGAGTCAGAGAACAACTGTGCACTATAGGTTTTCAGTGACTAACTTTTTGGAAGCAGATCACCAGGGCTTGCTTGTGAGGTTCTTCTAGGTATACTTGAACCTCCAATCTTTCTGGGTTAGCAGCCAGGAGTGTTAACTACTTGCACCACCTAGGGACTCCAATAAATCCACTGTAAATAAAGTGTTCAGCTTTATTTAATCCAGTGTTTTCCAAACTTATTTAACATGGAATCTGTTTCATGTGACATCTACTAGTTGTATAGAACATACTTGGGAAAACAGTGATCTAAATCTATACTTAAACGTTGGATACATTATACACACACTTTTTTTTTTCCCATTGTGATTTGGGTGAAAACTTACAGAGCAAAGTCACTTTCCATACAGCAGTTCACATACATTTTGTCTCATGACATTGACCACAATTCACCACAATGCAACAGCTCCCCCTCCCACTTCCTCCTGACAGTCACCTCTTCCGTGTCCTTCCCTCCATGCACTCCTGCCCCCTGAGCTGTCTCCCAGTGCATAAACAGCCCTTCTTTCTCCCATGATTGTTCTCTCCAAGGAATGTATCTACCTCAGCTAAATGTTCAACTCCTATGCCTGTCTTTTGTTTCGTTGGAAGCCACAGATGTGGGTTCAATGCCAGACCTGAAGGGCAACTAGGGGCCACAGTCTCAGGGGTTCCACCAGGCTCTATCAGACCAGCAAACCTGGTCCCCCCTCTTTTTTTTTTTTTCCAAATGATTCTGAGTTTTGCTCCGCATTGTTCTCCCTCTCTATCCGGGATCTCCTACATAGATCCCTCTCCAAGCGGTTGACAGTATACATACATTTTCTTTCACCATTAGAATCTATACTGAAATTGCCTCAGATGCAAAGAAGAAAAATATTCTCTTTCCATTTTCTTGATAAACAGCACCATACCTTCATATTCTGCAGATCAGTCATACCTGTTGGAACCTAGAATAAGAAAACATGAGTGTGGATATATGTTACCTAAAATCACCAGGAGCTTGTGGTTTCGTATCACTACCAATAAGCTTTGGATTGAGGGAGGACAGGAGGGAATCAGCATATTAGAATGATTCACATCCTCTCTTCCACCGGAGTTTTCCTTACACTAGAATGCCAGGCAGTGGAGCTGGAAGGGAGGTTAGATGGACTGAGTAAAATAGAAAAAGCAGTATGTTTTAATGAAAGAGAGATGTTACCTTTAACTCCTTCCCAAGCCAATCTCATTAGCTGGGAGGGTGAAAATCTATTATCCTGGCTTTATATCTGTAATTTATCTTCTTCCAGACAATAGGGTTTTCAGTACTCTTCCTATAACCCAACAGTGGGAATTATGATGTTGATTTCAAATCCACATTGGGGACAGAGTAGGGAGACAGAAGGAGACATCCACCTTTAAGACTGTGAAGTTATAGTAAGAGGCAGCATCGAGGGCTGGATCCAAGATACAGCTACTTGTCAGGTTCTTAAAGAAACGAGTGCAAGTTGTAGTTTTACTCTCCAGGAAACCTTAGAACACAAAAATTAAGGGAGTGGTAATTGAGAAAGCCCATTTTAAACTGAACATAAAGTAACATAAAACATGACACTTCTGCCTTGGACTCACCTGCAGGATTGTTCTCAGTACAGAGTCCCCCAGCTCCAACTCCTGCAGGCTGTCTCAGCAGGCTTACTACAGACCACTCGGGGAAGTAAGTCAGAATGGGGTCCCCAGCCTGAACAGAGAGTAAAAGAAAATGACTGGCAGTGAGATTTGCCTGAACCACACCAGAAAAGAAGAAGATGAAACAAGGGTTTACTCAACAGCCTGTTAATACAGACAATACCACACTCTAAAAGAGCTGACGGTGGTTTACTTAGTTGCAGGGAGGTACTGCAAATATACTTGGTTAACTGGTTTCTTCTTCAGGCTTACCCGGTAAAAAGGTGGTGGCGACTGGGTTTGGAATGTTGTAATGAATGATTTGCCTCCAAACTCTGCAGCCAGGGCCTGAAAGTTGGTTGTATCAACCTTTTGGAGCTTCTGGAAATAGTGTAATTTTGCTAAAATGTTTTTAAAAGAAAAAAAAGTTTAGAGAAAAGAAAAACATTTATTTGAAAATCTGGAATAGTATATAATTAATTTTTAAAAAATATTTTTAATGAAGCATAATATATACATAATAGAGTCTGAAAAGGCACTAATCTTAGGTGTAACACTTAACAAATTTGTATACATGTATTACCACAACCCAGTAGTCCCAGTCACTACTCTACCTCCAGATATAAACACAATTCCATCACCTCCTCATGTATTTGTAATGTGTTAGTTGAATTATTTTAGTATTAAGATCTGAGATAAGAATATGTAGTCAATGAATACCAGTCAGTTCCAAATCTCCAATGGCCAGCAATGAGTATATTAGCAACTTGTGATGGAAACAGGAGGCTCAATACTGCTCTCATTTGCTCTATGCCAGATGAGTTTCTGATAGAGCAAAATAGTACTGCTTCCATAGGAACATGGCAAAGTTGGAGACAGTATTTGATCTGTTCTTCCAAATCCTCCTATTTCCTCTAAACATACTGCTACGGTCTGAATTGTGCCCCCAAAAACATATGTTGAAATCCTAACTCCCATACTTACAAATGTGACCCTGTTTGTAAATAACAATTTTCTTTTTTTATGTTAATGAGGTCATAGAGGAGTCCTTGAAATAGGAAAACAGACATGGAGATGTATATGGGGGAAGAGACCATGTGAGGAACTGTCTACAAGCCAAGGAATGCCAAGGCATAACCTAACCTATTGACAAAGAGAGACCTTCCCCTAGAACTGATAGCCTGATTTGGATTTCTAGCCTCCAAAACTGAGAAAATAAATTTCTGTACTTTAAAGATACCCATTTGTTATAACAGCATTATGAAATAATGTTTCAATCTCTCAAATACATGGATTTTCTGTGTTTTATTCCTTTCATGTTATAATTCTTAAACTCAAGATTTCAGACACCCCAAAGAGGGTATTTTCTTGAACAGTCCTGTAATTCCTATTATGGCAATGGGTAAATCTATATAAGCTCCTGCAGTCATCTTCTTATGGAATTTCAGGACCAGAAGAGAAATATATGAAAAAGGCTCTAGCACTGTCACCTGCAGAGGGCCTCCAGTAATGGGACCACTCTGCTTTACCGCTCCAAGCTTTCTGCTAACCTGCAAAAGGAACACAGCAGATTCATGCCCCACAGTAGTTCTTCTCATTCTCCATATAATTACAGTCATTTGGACATCGTAAAAACGTAACCATGTGTCACTGCAAGCTAATCAGGATTTCACATGAAATTAGCCTGACCTTTATCCTCTGAGATCACCAAGTCTTACTCATAGGACTTTTCAGCTTTCTGATAGAGCATGACATGAACACAGCTTTCAATTTTGGGGTCTTTCAGACTACTCACTCTATAATAATCTAGATCCTTGCTACTCAGAGTGGGGTGCATAGACAACCAGCCACAGCATCTCCTGGGAACCTGTCAGAAATGGAGAATCGCAGGTCCCTTCCCACACCTGCTGAGTCAGAATCCGCATGTTGACAAGATCTCCAAGTGACCTCCATGCGCATTAGAGCCTGAAAAGCACTGCCGCGACGGGTGGTATGGCTGCTGGACCACCTTCCCCCTCTGATTGGGAATCTTCAAACTCTGAAGCTTCCAGGACCTTGTTAATATTCTTCCCACCTCACAATTCTGAAGTTAAGCTAAGAAAGATGACAGGCTGATATGGCAAATATTCATATGGCTATATATTTTTTATGGCTTAAAAGAATCAGAGGGAAAAAATATTAAAGTGATTTAAAAAAAAGAGCAAGTTAACATTTTGCCTCACTCTTCAGTCACTTTTCAGTGGTACGTTGGTGGCTTGCATGTTGCTATGAGGCTGGAGGCTATGCCGCTGGTATTTCAAATACTAGCTGGGTCACCCATGGTGGACAGGTTTCAGCAGAGCTTCCAGACTAAGGCAGACTCGGAAGAAGGAAGGGGCCATCCACTTCTCAAAGAATTGGCCAGTGAAAACCTTATGAATAGTAGTGAAACACTGTCTGATATATTACTGGAAAACTTTATGAATAGCCCTGAAACATTGTCAATGATGGGCTCAGGTATAGCAAAGATTGTGAGGCTGGCATAGGACCGGGCAGTGTTTTGTTTTGTTGCATACAGAGTCACTATGAGTTGGAGACGACTTGACTGCACCTGATAACAACTTCAGTGCAGAGATACTGTTGGTGGCAGTGGTAGCAGGAATATTGTATATGCTAAGAACTATATAAGCATCTTTTCCCTCAATTTCCACTGTTGTTGTTATTGTTATGTGCCGTCGAGTCGGCCCCGACTCATAGCGACCCCTCCTTGGGTTTCTGAGGCAGTATCACTACAGAAGTAGGATTGCCCAACCTTCCTTCTGAGGAGTGGCTGGTGGGTTTGAACCGCCAGCCTTCTGGTTAGCAGTCAAGTACCTTAGGCACTATGCTACCAGAGCTCCTATCATACATATTATACCTAACAGAACACAAAGGTATTTAGACAACCCATACCATTGCTGTCAAGGTGATTCTGAGTCACACTGACTTTATAGGACAGAGTAGAACTGCCCCATAAGGTTTCTAAGGCTGTAATCTTTATCGACATAGATTGCCACATCTTTCTCCTGTGGAGTGCCTGGGTGGGTTTGAACTACTGACTTCTGGTTAGCAGCTGAGCTCCTCTGGCCCAATCCCATTCTTTCAGAGTAAAAAACTTGATCCTAAGAGGTGTGTCAGGTGCTTTGGTGGTGTAGTGGATAAGGCATTTGGCTGCTAACCAGAAGGTCAGTGGTTCAAACCCACTAGCTGCTCCACACAAGGAAGATGCGGTGATCTACTTCTATAAAGATTTACAGCCTTGAAAACCCAATGGGGGTTGCTATGAGTTAGAATTGACTTGATGGCAGTGAGTTTGGTTTGTTTTTGGTTTAAGAGGTAAGTGATTGGCAAAAGGACACAAAGCCAGCGGGCAGAGTCAGAAGTAAAATCCCAGAGCTCCTGATTCCTGGCCAAGAGTTTTTGACCCTCTATCGTGATGTACAGACCTTCCCTATGAACATCCTTAACTGATGATTGTTATCAGCAAATATTACCCACTATGGTCTAACATATGACCCACCCTTTCTAGGTGCTTACAACTAATCTGGGAAGACAATACGACAATCCAAGGTACCTATAAAGTCCAAAAAAACGCACGCACTGCTGTCGAGTCGGATCTGACTCATAGCGACCCCTCCTTAGGTTTCCAAGGTGATATCACTACAGAAGTAGATTACCCAACCTGCCTTCCAAGGAGTGGCTGGTGGGTTTGAACCGCCAGCCTTCTGGTTAGCAGTCAAATGCCTTAGGCACTACGCCAGCAGAGCTCCTATAAAGTCCAAGGAAGCAGCGAAATAGTAAGTGCCTTAAAACCTCTGGGGAATATGTGCTCACTTCCAACTGAGGTGATCAAGAGAAGCCGCCAGGTAGGGATTTTGAAATGTAAAGAGAAAGAGGAACACTGCAGTCAAGGAGAAAAGTAAATGCAAACTTGGGAAAAATGAAAGACATGAGTGGCATAGTGCTTAAGGCATTTGACTACTAACCAGAAGGCTGGTGGTTCACACCCACCAACAAGCAGAGGGTCAACATAAAGAGTAATGGGGAATTACTAGGCATATACCCTAAAGAAGTGAGAGCCATGACAAGAACAGATATATGCACACCCATGTCCACTGCAGCACTATTTACAACAACAAAAAGATGGAAACAACCTACATGCCCATCAACAGAAAAACGGATAACCAAACTATGGTACATACACACAATGGAATACTATGCAATACTAAATAATAATGTAGAATCTGCAAAATACCACATAACATGCATGAACTTGGAGGCCATTATGCTGAGTGAAATAAGTCAATCACAGAAGGACAAATATCATACTAGTTCATTACTGTAAAAAGTCAAGGAAAGGTTTCTATATGGAAGGAAACTTTCTTTGTTGGTTACCAGGTGTGGGAGTGGAGGGGAGGGAACAATGCAAAAATAAATAAATAAATAAATAAATAAATAAATAAATATTTTTTAAAAAATAGTAATGGGGAAAAAAAATCTAGAAAGTTGGATCAAATATGAGCATCTTGACTGGCAGGCTAAAAGCGGATGTTATTCCACAGGTCAGGGGTGTCAATGGCAGTTTCTGATTAATGCAATAATAAAATATAATGTAATGTTACAGAGGGATTACTTTAATAAAATGATTCTCCATGGCTCTGTTATATGTTTGTATGTGTGAGGGAGGTAGGTAAATAATTACAATCAAAGGGAAGCATTTGCCTTTTTTATACTAAATGTGAGTCCATTCCCCAGCCTTATTTGGGGGAAAACCCATTGGTTTAATGATCCACTATTACTGTTGGAGGGAGCTCTGGTGGTGTAGTGCCTAAGGCATTTGACTGCTAACCAGAAGGCTGGTGGTTCAAACCTACCAGCCACTCCTCGGAAGACCAGGTAATCTACTTCCATAGTGATACTGCCTCAGAAACCCAAGGAGGAGTCACTATGAGTCAGAGTCGACTTGATGGCAGTGAGTTTGGTTTTTTTTGGTTTTATTACTATTGTAGGTGACCATTTCTCAGGTGGTGGTGGGATGAAACAAAGTCTAGAATCACTGATCCAGAAGCAGTATGCAGGAAGATTAAAAACAGGAAGCACCATTGGATGCTGTTGAAATAGCCCTGAAGCATGATCACAAGACCAGAACTAGAAGGCCATGGGAGGTCTGGGCAGGAATAGAAGCCTTATTTTAAAACAGAGCATTCACTGTGTTCCCTTTACCCTCTCACAACCTGAATGCTCACAGGGTTCCTGAAAACCCCTTGTAGGATCAAATTCCCCAAATCCATAAATGGCTGTTTTCTGAAACAGATGTAATTTTGCAATTTCTTTCCTGATTTGGGTGAGTTTACTTTGAGGGTATAAAGCATATTTAAATCTATTTTGTGTGAGACTGTTTTGCTTTTGAGACATTAAACATAGCATCCAATATCTCTTAGCTTATCTTTAGAAATGTTATAGTCTTGACTAATTTCTAATTCCATTTTTAAAACCTAGTAATAATCACCTCTTTATTGTATTCTACAGTCACAAAGCACTTTTCCATATAGGGCCAGTGATATTATTTTTCATTTTATGGTTGAAAAAATGAAACTGGAAATGCTAAAGGATTTTCTCATAGCTGTGTAGCTGGTGAATAAGTAGCAGGGCCGAGAGATTCCAGTTTAATGTTCTTTCTCCCACGCTTTTCGCCTCATGAAATAAAAACAAGGCTATCTTAGAGTCATTTGTCAAAAACATTCATTCAAGTATAATTTGGTGTCTATGTGTCAGGCACTGAGGATTCAGTGAGTACCCCCATGGTGACTATAGTCAAGCTGGGGATACAGTATATCTGTGATTATCTGAGCTAAGAGAAATGATAAAAATATTGAAATTAATGTTCAATGTAACCTTCCTGATCCACAGTCAACAGAGAATAAGAAATTGCAAATATTCACTAGTGAGGGAGAGAGAAAAGGTAGAATGAAAGAGAGTCAAAGGACAAGAATAAAAGTTTAAAAGGAAAAATTAGGCCAAAAATATATTTTTTCCCCAGAAAGCAGGCCAGGAATAAAACTTAAAAAAAAAAAAAAAAAAAATTGAAAAGAATCAGGCCAGAGACAAAGGCAATTTTCAATAAATGATAGGCAATAATGTTTCTACATTATTTAGCATCAACATATTTCTACTCACAGTTGTTCACGCGGACACAGAATTGCCTAATTCTATTTGAATCCATGAAAACTCTTGTAGGAAATGGAGAATTACTTCTGAAGATAAGAGAGTGGTCCACACACATCCAGCTTGAGGACCTGTGAAGAAATAGAACAGAGTTAGATACATCTGGAAGCAGAGGGTTAGGTCCGGGGAAAGGTACTCACTGGATGTAAGCAGATGCCAACGAGGACTCCTTGGGGGCCATGGAGTAACACAAAGGTTCTAGAAGTGGAAGTTGGGGCGAGGGTGCGGGTGGAGCACGAAAGCTGTAACGAAACTACTTCCAAATGTTACCTTTTCCAGAACTCCAATTTCCTTTAATGATGAAATGACCTGAGCGCTGCAGCTCACCTTACGCTCCCAGGAAGGCAGAAAGAGAAAACTGTCCTCGGATGGAGAAGATAACAGTCCTTGTCGCAGCAGCAATTTATATCACAGGTACCAGGAGTCAAGTCACAGACACAGATCGGTAAGACTAGGAAAGTAAAACATAAAGCAGAGCCAATGAGATGGCCACCCCCAAACTCTTCCAAGTGCGAATTTCCCCTCTTCTGACAGCTCCACAACTCCCCATTTAGTGGCAATTTAACATTGTTCACAGAATTTTAGATGCGAGAGGTCAGTAGTTTCCCCTCACCTGGTAAGAGATCCACTGTCTTATTGTCAGGCGCAGAAGGGATCACAGCAGTAGGGCCAACAGTGGAGATCCCAGGCAGAGACCCGGGGGTTTCAGTGCTCTCGGATGGGGGCTGGAAGGTCCCGCCCAGGGTACTAGGCCCCAGGTGCGAAGGTGTGGACACTACCCCTGACGGGGAGGAAAAGGGCTGAGGCTGGACGCTCTCGGGAACCATCAGGAAGAAGGCCTGCAGTAGCACCAACCGCGGAGTGCACATAGGGCACATAGGACCCGGGAGGGTCCAACGTGAGCCTCGGCCGTTGCCAGACGCGTTGCTAGAGCGTGGGTGGGAGGAGTCGCATAGCGTCTGACGTCATCCAGATGCATCGGGTCACTGGCTCATGGTAATTGCTGACAGCTCTTCAGCCAATAGAAAATAGGATTCTTACAGCTCTCGAAGTCTGTCTTAATCCTTGTTTTGTTCTTAGGGCCAGAAGAGGCGCTGCCTCGGTCGTCTGGTAAACTGCCAAATTGGCGAAGGCGCCCTTTTCCCTTTTGTCCGCTAGATGACAGTAGGAGCTCGGCAAACCGACTAGTGCGGAGGCGTCCCACGCGAGCTTTGAGCCCTAGAGGATTGAGCTCTTCCTTGATATAGGCGAAACCCCCAGAGGCCAAACCTGGAATTGAAATTTTTTTCACTCCGTTTAAAAAGGGTAAGAAACCATTACTGTGGAAGGCCCAGGGAAGAAAGTAAATACATGGTCACAGACTTAAAAAAAAAAAAAAATCCCATTTAATTATAGTATATTTTGGAAAGGACATTAAAAACAACGTTCAGCTTTTGAAATTTTAACCTTGAGAAGTAACAGTAAATATATTAACCAAATCATTAGATATGGACTGCATATTGTTGGTGAAAATGTAGTGAGAGGAAGATAAGAAATAAGAAAATGAGGTAGAGAAGAAAGAGAGGAAAGAGTAAATCGATTTTCCAGGCGATGGAGAGAAAATCAGATTCAGAGATGGAATTTGCCAAGGATGGAGAAGAAAACTTACCAGAATTTTTGATTCTAGTCATCCTAATGGAGGTGAAGTGGTATGTCATTGTGGTTTCAATTTGCATTTCCCTGACAACTAATGACTAGAAGCTCTGGTGGCGTAGCTCCAAAGGCATTTGACTGCTAAGCAGAAGGCTGATGGTTCAAAGCCCCCAGCCACTACATGGGATAATCTACATCCGTAGTGATACTGCCTAGGGAACCTAAGGAACGGTCGCTATGAGTTAGATCCGACTCAACGCAGTCAGTTTAGTTTTTTTGGTTTAAGGATCACTGTGAGTTGGAATTGACTCTATGGCAGTGGATTTTTATTGGCCAGTTTTATTGTTGATGAAATTCCATGTATTTTCTTTTATTGCTTGTTGGTTTCATAGTTAAGAATCCATTGTGAAATCTAAGGTTATGAAATTTTATCCTATATTTTCTTGTAAGAGTTTTACACTTTCAGCCCTTACATTTAGATTTTTGATCTATTTCGAGTCAACTTTTGTATGTGGTATAGGGTAAAATTCTAATTTCATTCTTTTGCATATGGAAATCCTGCAATTCCTCACAATGTAACAACTCTTTTCTCACTTAGTCCCCATAGTTATCTCTTCCCTGTGTCCTTCCTTCCTGTGCATTCCCGCCCCTTCCCCCACAAACTGTCTCCCTGTGCAAACACTGCCCTTCTGTTCTCCAAAGATTGATCACTCCAAGGAGCATATCTACCTGATATAAGTGTTCACCCCATATACCTGTCTTTTGTTGGGCTGGAAGCCACAGGAGTGAGTTCAGTTCCAGACCTGAAGGGTAACTAGGTCCCATTGTCTTAGGGGTCTCACCAGGCTCTGTTGGACAAGCAAACCTGGTCTTTGTTTATGATTTCAAGTTTTTTTTCCATAATTTTTCTCCCACTCCATCCAGGATCTCCTATACCAATCCTCTGAGTAGTTGACAGTGGTAGCTGGGTACCATCTAATTCTTCTGGTCTCATGTTCATATAGGCTGAGGATCGCATGGTCTACCAGTCCCCTTGACTAATGATTTACATGCATTGTTGGTTTTTTTTTTACTCTTCTTTGCTCTGGATGAGGAGAGACCCATTGTTGCATTTAAATGGCTGCTTGCAAGCTTTTAAGACCCCAGCTGCTACTCACCAAAGTATGATATAAAGTCGAGCCTGACTCATAGCGACCCCTTGTTGGGTTTCTGAGACAGTGTCTCTACAGAAGTAGATTGCCCAATTTTCCTTCTGAGGAGTGGCTGGTGGGTTTGAACTGGAAGCCTTCTTGTTAGCAATCAAATGCCTTAGGCACTACGCCACCAGAGTTCCCAAAGTATGATATAGAAAAGTGTTTTTGTTTATTATGTTATGCCAGTTGAGCTTGATGTCGAAGGGGTGTTGAATTTTGACAAATGCTTTTTCTGTATGTATTGAGCTGATCATGTGGTGTTTGTTTTTTATTTTATTGATAGGGTATATTACACTAATTGATTTTCAAATATTAAACCAGCCTCGAATTACTGGTATAAATCTCATTTTGTTATGATGATTTTTATATCCACATTCATAAGAGGTATTAGTTGGTAGGTTTCTTTTCTTATGGTGTCTTCATCTGGTTCTATTGTGTTGTTGTTGTTAGGTGCCATCAAGTTGGTTCTGACTAATAGTGACCTTATTGTACAACAGAACAAAACACTGCCTGATCCTGCATTGTCCTCATAATCATTACTGTGTTACAGCCCATTATTGCAGCCATAGTGTCAATCCATTTCATTGAAGGTCTTCCTCTTTTTCACTGACCCTAGGGACTGGTCTCTCCTGATGACATGTCCAAAGTACACGAGACCAAATCTTGCCATCTTTGTATCTAAGGAGCATTCTGGCTAGACTTCCTCTAAGACAGATTTATTTGTTCTGGCAATCCATGGTACATTCAATATTCTTCACCAACACTGTAATTCAAATGTATCAATTCTTCTTCTTTGATCTTCTTTTTTCATTGTCTAGCTTTCCCATGAATATAAGGTAATTTAAAATACCATGGCTTGGGTCAGGTATACTTTAGTCCTCAAAGTGACATCTTTGCTTTTTAACACTTTAAAGAAGTCTTTTGTAGCAGATCTGCCCAATGCAATATGTCATTTGATTTCTTGACTGCTGCTTCCTTGGGTGTTGATTGTGGATCCAAGTAAAATGAAATCCTTGACAACTTCAGAATTTTCTTCATTCATCATAATGTTGCTTATTGGTCCAATTGTGAGGATTTTTGTTTTTTCTATGTTAAGCTGGAATGTGAAAGTTGGAAACTAAGAAGAGGCATTAGTAATTGGAAAATATGGCCTTGGTTATAGACATTGTATGATAGAATTTTGCAAGACAAATGACACTTACTTCATATACTTTTTTTCAACAACATAAATATATACGTGGACCTCGCCAGATGGAATACACAGGTATCAGATCAACTATATATGTGGAAAGAGGTGATGGGGAAGCTTAAATATTATCAGTCAAAACAAGGCCAAGAGCTGACAGTGAAAAAGCCCATTAATTGCTCATATGCAAGTTTAAGGCTTGAAGCTGAAGAAAATTAAAACAAATCCACAAGAGCCAGAATAAGACCTTGAGTATATCCCACTTGAATTTAGAGACCATCTGAAGAATAGATTTGATGCAGTGAGCATCTAATGACTGAGATGACAAGATGAGTTGTGGGGTGACATCAAGAACATCATACATGAAGAATGCAAAAGGTCATTAAAAAGACAGGACAGGAAGAAAAGATCAAAATGGATGTCAGAAGAGATTCTGAAACTTGCTCTTGAATGGAGAATAGCTAAAGCAAATGAAAGAAATGATGAAATATAAAAGAGCTGAAGAGACGATATCAAAGGGTGGCTTGAGAAGTCAGAGTAATGTATTATAATGAAATGTGCAAATACCTGGAATTAGAAAACCAAAAGGGAAGAACACTCGCACCATTTCTCAAGCTGAAGAACTGAAGAAAAAAGTCAAGCCTTGAATTGCAGTATTGAAAGATTCTATGGGCAAAATAGGAGCTCTGGTAGCATAGTGCCTAAGGCACTTGACTGCTAACCAGAAGGCTGGCGGTTCAAACCCACCAGCCACTCCTCGGAAGGAAGGTTGGGCAATCTACTTCCATAGTGATACTGCCTCGGCAACCCAAGGAGGGGTCGCTATGAGTCAGGTCTGACTCGACGGCACATAACAACAGCAACAACAACAATGGGCAAAATATTGAATGATGGAAGAATCATCAAAAAAAGATGGAAAGAATGTAGAGTCACTGTATGAAAAAGAATTGGTCAATGTCCACTTGTTTCAGGAGGTAACATATGATGAAGAACCAAAAGTATTGAAGGAAGAAGTCCAAGCTGCATTGAAGAATTGGAGAAAAACAAGGCTCCAGGAATTGACAGAATACCCACTGAAATGTTTCAACAAACGATGAAGTGCTAGAAGCACTTACTCATTCATGCCAAGAAAATTGGAAGACAGCTACCTGGCCAGTTGATTGGGAGAGATCAATATTTGTGCCCATTCCAAAGAAAAATGGTCAACCAGAATGTGGAAACAATATCATTAATATCACACACAAGTAAAATCTTGCTGAAGATAATTAAAAAATGGTTGCAACAGAATAATGACAGTATATTGACACTTCCAGAAATGCAAGTTGGATTCAGAAGAGGACATGGAACAAGAAATAGCATTGCTTATGTCAAATGGGTCTTAGCTGAAAGCAGAGAATAACAGAAAGATGTTTACCTGTGTTTTATTGACCATGCAATGGCATTTGACTGTGTGGATTACAACAAATTATGGATAGCATTGAGAAGAATAGGAATTGCAGAATGCTTAATTGTACTCACAAGGAACCTATACATATACCATACATATACCAAGGAGCTGTTATTCTAACAGAACAAAGGCATGGTTTAAAATCAGGAAGGGTGTGCATAGGGTTGTATCCTTTCACTATACTTACTGGATCTTTGTGCTGAGCAAGTAATCCAAGAAATTGAACTATATAAAGAAGAACGAGGCATCAGGATTGGAGGAAGACTCAACAACCTGTGATATGCAGATGATATAACCTATCTTGCTGAAAGTGAAGAGGACTTGAAGTACTTACTGGTGAAGATCAATGACTATGGTGTTCAGTGTGGATTATATCTCAACATAAAACAAAAATCATCACAAGTGGACCAATAAGCAACA